TGGCACTTGACCATTGACCACGTAGAAATAGTGTTGATAAAAGATATCAAGCACGCGGGCGCCATCTGTCTTATCAAATAGATAAGACAACACGTGCTATCAAATAATGTTTATCATACGTCTGTTACCATATTCATATTTAATATAATTATTATATTTTAAATGCGAGTAAATAATCAAGTAACCACATCAACAGCCGTGCAATACCACGACCATACAGAAGATAGACATCAAGTGGAAGCAATTCCGCGTTTTGTCTGATGAATACTTACTTTGAATTCACTCCCTTCTTACGCATATTCTCTTTTACACTATCCATACTTTCTTCAGTCTTCCTCTACATCTACAAAACTAGTTAATGGTTTATAAGATCAAAATGTATGAAACATATCGATATCCCTCTCGTTATCTTTGACAAAATAGAGATAACAATATTTCTCTCTTCTCTCCTGCATCTCCTTTTATCATAAAGTTTTAATGATTTTTTTTTCGATAATTTTTTCATCAATTTTAATATTGCATCATAGTTCCACGTTACACAATCCACGTTACAACTTAAACACTTTGACACTTAAGTTATTAAGTTGCAACTTATCTGAACAAGTTACGCAATGTTTTGATATTATAATTATCACGATGATTCATTATATTTACACATCCTTTTCTAAATAAACCTCTTTTGATAAAAGGTCAATAATGACAAGACAATTTGCGTACGTTTTTGTAATTTCAACATGCTTTATTTTTAATATAAAATTTAGAAAACTTTATAATCTCTATTAAAAAATAAACACAACCTTTTTTACAGTCGTTACATTTTACAAAATATTAATGGCTATGAAAAAATAAATAAACATATTAAAAAAAAACTCTATAAGACTGTAATCACAGCCTAATAAAAAACAAACATAATTGTATCATCAATTTGAATACTGGAACGTTCCAAAATAAATCTATAAAACAAAAAATAAAAGCCAGCCAGTGACATCTTATATATCAAATTCTCGTGTAACAATATTCATTCCCATACTCCTCTGAAACGGCTTGACCGATTCTCATGAAATTTTGTGAGCATATTGAATAGGTCTGAGAATCGGCCAACATCTCTTTTTAATGCCGCGCGGGCGGAGTCGCGGGCTACAGCTAGTGTGTAAATATAATTTGATTAAATTCGATTCTGATGTTTTTGATTTCCGCAGTGTAGCTACCGTTAGAAATGTTACTCTTTCTAATATTATAAATGCGAATGTTTGGATAAATTTGTTAAAAGATATCTCCAGAACGGCTGCATGGATCTCGATATTTGGCATAGATGTAGAGCATAGCCCGGAAGAACACATAGGCTAGAAAGTTCTTTTTTTTATTCCGTGCGGGCGACAACTAGTAAGTCATTTATGAACACGTTGATTCCAGTCAGGGATCAATAAATCACTCTGAAGATACACAAACAAACATGTTATCAGACATTATCAGTTAGATATTTGCACGTCATGCGACACGCAGTTTTATAAAGCTAACCGTAATAATGACTGCGCAATAAACAACAAGGGCATAGATTAACAACAACTTTAAAAAAATCCGATATATTTTTTACCATAGACAAATAAACCACTTTTCTCTCGTAAAGAAACCTTATCCAACTTCTTTTATTTTTTATGTAAGATATAAACTAGTAAGCAGCCACTTGTATTCGTTAAAATAGCGAAGCGATCGCTGCATAGACATATATATTTCTCCTATATGCGTCCCCTTTTTTGTCAAAATCGCTTTCCCTTCCCATCTTTTCCTTATAATAAAGGGTGAGAAGGGAAAGAGGACTAAAATTAAGCTTCCGGTACGCACACTCATCAGAATGTACGTGGAATTGCTACAACTTGAAGCCTGTCTTCTGTGTGGTCGTGGTATTTCACCGGGCGAGCCGGGACAATGCGTGCTAGATGTTAAAGCGGGCTCTACCACTGCTATCTAAAATTTTGCACAAAATTACTGAAAAAATTATGTAATAGTACAATGAAAAGATAGCATTTTAAAGTATAGTGGACTGCAAATCAATTTTTAAGTTACTTAAGCTTAACTTACTGAGAAATTGTCTAATGGTTATTAAGGACGTCACTTAATGTAGAACTGTTATACGACTCTGCGTCAATATGTTTTCTATTGATTTTCATAGACTATGCATGCATAAAACATGTTATGGTCGCACGTGTAACCTTGACCCAATACAAACAGTTTTCAGAAACGATATTGGAGAAAATTAAATAAAGAAATCGATTTAAAAAGTTAAAAAAATATTTTGCAATTAGTAAAGCAAGGGTTAATTTTAAACCGGACTTACTTTCATTTCAGCTATATTAAATGATAACTCATTATCAAAATCAGAGGACCTATCACGAAAATCGACAAAATTAGTATTACGTTTTGTATCCCTATCGAACTTAACTACTTATCTCTGACAAATTTTCCTACTAGGCCCCTAGTTCAACTTTTATAGTACAGGAGCTCACGATGAACTCGGTCAAGAATCAAATTCGGGACAATTAGTATAAATAAAACAGAGTTCAACCATCTGTTCGTTTTTATACTTAGAAACTGATATTCCATTGATTCGTTTAAATTTTAAGTCATTTCTCGATTTTTCTGAGAACCATCTAATTGGATACCTAATTTTACATCTTACAAAGACTTCGATTTTGTGGTTTGACCGTGATAATGTGTTCTTGTTGTAATTATGTTTACACTGGCTTGAAACATGTTAACAAGATATATGTTAATTTGATGGAATACTACGCATATCATCTTTACAATATCTTTTTGTTTTATTTCGGAGAAAAAACAGAATCAAATTCTTAAAAGAAAATATCTTACTAATATTATAAATGCGAATGTTTAGATGGATCTATCTATCTACTCCCACTGCTGGGCATAGACCTCCCCCAAAGATCGCCACGATGACCGATCTTGTGCCACCCGCATCCAGGACGCTCCCGCAACCTTGACCAGGTCATCGGTCCATCTTGCGGGAGGCCTGCCCACGCTGCGTGATGATGATTTAGATGGATGTTTGTTTGAAAGTATATCCAAAACGGCTGCATGGATCTCGATGAAATTTGGCATGGATGTAGAATATATTATAGTATAAAATATTAATTGAAAACTGCCGAAGCATCTATACAAAATTATAATTATATTCCACACTTTGAAATACTACGATTTAAGACTACCAAACTTACTAAGCAAAATCACCACAAAGTTGTAGTTACATAACTGATTGTATTTAAAATCAATATTGATAAGAAATACAAACAAATACGCTGGGTGTTGCCCGCATGGTTCAATGTAATTAGTAAGGTTCATAACATTGTTATCAGTCAGGGAACACGGAATATCATCGACCTCGGATCAATGTAATGCAATCAAGAATGCCCTCGTGTCTGTATTTAATCTTATCTTACTTCTTATTAGTATAATAAATGCGCCTGTTTGAACGGCTGAACGGATTGAAATTTGGCATAGATGTAAAGCATAGCCTGGAAGGACACATAGGCTACTAATTTTTTTTTTAATTCCGCGCGGTCAGTGTCGCGGGCGACAGCTAGTTATCAATAAAATATAGTATTATTGCAATCCCATTCTATCAAAAGATTAATTTATCAAGCTCTTAGGGTACAGATTTTGTACGCGAAATTATTTTTGAATTCTGGCTTGTGGATGGGCTTGGTATTGCAGCGCGTCTATGCCCTTGAGTTGTCAAATTTGAAAAAAAAGTTTCAGTTTTATTTGCTATTTCTTTTTTTCCAAAGAGTATGAAAGGGATAGCGATATTGTAACACGTGTCATAGCAACATGAATAGATAAGGTTATTGTTTGATCTAAAAACTTATAAGACATTTTGATTATATATTAGCCGTTTACCTTATCGTAAATTATTGATAAATTGAATTATTTATAACTCTTCCTAGTAGTATTATCAATACGTCGTGTTAAGGAATTTGTGTTGTTTTGATAAATATTTGTGATAGCACGTTCAATGCAAATGTAGATAATATTATTAGATTATTAACTGTGTGTTCACGGTGCAAAGATGAAGTTGCAATCATTGTTATAAAACTATGAAGCAAACTGTCCGTGTATGTCAGACGTTAAATCTTGATGTTCCAATTTGTTTGAATCAGTCCGTCTATTTCAGCCCTTAAATGAACTGTATAGGAATTATATATCCATATAAATAGTTTGGTATGGAGTATTCGAGCGAAATCATATCAGTTTGATAAGCAAATCAAAATCACTCGAAAGCTATTGCGCAAGAATATGCCAGAATAACTGTGTAGCCTCGATTGGTCGAAACTGTATCCAACTTGTATGAACAGGTTCAGTTTTATTAATACTTTCACAACATGAATGGAAATATTCAACGTTTAACAACACAACTTAAGTCCTTAACCGAGTGTGGTATGTAGAGACAACGGCCTTATGCAGTCCTGGACGCCTCTCCCACATTCGAGAAGAAAGATCGAGAGATTTAAATAAAAACATGCATAATACTTTATGTATATTACTTTTTCTTTATTAATTTTTAATACATCAAATCATTGAGTGAGAGCAAAATACAAAAAAAAAATTATGAATAGAATTTGAAATAACGCCGTTGCCGTTGCGTCGTATAGAAAAACAAATCTTTATTAATGGTACATGAAATGTTTATCTTTAAATATTCAATTACATTTAAATAGCATTTAAAAGTATGTTTTTATAATTTCAAAAGCCGGAGACAAAGTTGATTGTGTTATCCAGTTCACCAATTCGATTTGCGACACACGCCGTTTCCCTGCTGTCAAAATAAACCCAAGCGCGCGGGAATTCCAAGCGTCGCGTCGGAAAACACGCACACATACGCAGAGAGACGTTAACCTTCGTATCCACACAAGGTTCACGCGACAGACACGCCATTTGATAACTTTACTACGATACTAAAGGTCATCACAAACTGGACATTTACTTACGAATTGATATGCTTGCAGAGAAATTCACTCACACACATAAAGTTCATAGAGTTGTATTTAATTCACTACGCGCGTGTATTTCGAGGAATCTCCGTTGGAACTGGCGCTGCGCACACAAACACACATAGATAACGCGGTGCGTGCCGACACGTGCATAAATACACCCTCGCCCCGCACACGAGTTCACTTTCCTCCCAGCATTGGAAGTGAGAACACGCTAGTTGAGCTCGCAAAGTTGTGAAATTATTGTGACACAGTTTACGATCTTTTCGTCCTTGTATTGTTGATAAGTGAACGCAAGTTATTTACTGTTTGTGTAAAGTGCCAGTGACAATTCGAAGCTCGGCTTGGATTGCACCAAAAATTAGTGATATTTACAATCTGAAGAGTATACATTTAAACAAGAAAATGTACAACGAATCAGTAGTTCCTGTGAAAGTGGAGTCCTTCAGTGGAATGGCTGCTAAAAGGTAATTAAATATACTATTTCTTATTATGGATTTCATAATGTAGAAAGTATTGGTTGTATTGAGTAATGTTGCATAATTCAAGTTTTAATGTGTTGAAATTATGTTCTTCATAATTTAAATAAATATTGTGAAATAAATTCATATATCGATCGATACAAAACAAAACTAAACTAAACACAATTTTGGGCTTTTCATCACAATCCTCGGTAGTATAGTGGTAAGTATCCCCGCCTGTCACGCGGGAGACCGGGGTTCGATTCCCCGCCGGGGAGGCTTTTTTGACATTTTAATAATTTTTGTTTTTTTTTGTTCACAGCCCTATCGGCAAGTGCATCAAGACTGTACTTAGGCGGGCTTGTGTTGAGAAACGGCTGACTGTAGGTCTTCTCCCCGCCATACAGTACTTGTCAAACAACTGCAACGGTGCCCTGTTCTGTGTGACGACGGAGGCGCCCCCCGGCGACAGCGCCACGCACATGCAAGAAGTGTTGTTGCAAGCTTTCTGCGTTGAAAATGATATTTATTGCATCAAGGTGAGTTGCTATTTTCGTTATCGCATTAATTCAATATTTAACAAATTTAAAAATAAATAATTTTGTATTTAATATTTTAAAAAGAAGAACTTTCTCTAAAATTTGTGAAAATTTCTGTTATGTAATTTATTATCCAACAATATGCAGTAAAAATTCTTAACATATTTTTTTTATTATTACAGGTCGACTCCGAATCTAAATTAAAGAAAATCCTCGGATGCTGCAAAACATCTGTCGATTTCAGCTGCATTTTGGTCCACTATCCTTACACTGATCCGTTTAGTGACAGCCAGGAAATTGATTTAACAAGCCTCACAGACACGGAGAAAGACCTAATTGATTATTGTGAAAATAATTGGGGACATTCACAAATCCCCGTCGTCAAATTGCCAGAGAAGTGAATTCTTCGAAAAGGAATTGAACGGACATAGAATTAATGACCTTAAGGTCTTTGTATATTGAACGATTTCGTTCTAAGCTTTTCTTTGAATAACCACTGTATTATGGATTTTAGTGGTGTTAGAGAATTTTCTCTTGTAGAAAAGATGTAAGATATGGATTATTAAGAAAGTATTTTTGTATAATGGTACAATTTCATGTCGCCATTGTGGCTTTCTGAATATATATTTGTATAATATGATGTTGGCAGGAGTTTGTAATGATTTTCTATGTGTATAATTGTTAATATGAATAATCATGTTTAATAAATACAATAATATGGAATGTGTTTGTTTTATTTAAGTCACATTAATGTTCCTTATTAATTCCTAGTAAAAAATATAAAAAAATCTAGATAATGTATGTATGTGTAAAAAATCTCAAATCAATATTACCTAACTACAGTGTGATTCTTAGAGAATGTTAAAGAAAATATTGTAAAAATAAAATTTAATAAAACTAAAATGATTTACTATTAGTTCCACTTCTAAATATTAAGGTAAATAACTAAATAAATCTTTAAACTAATAATTACATAACTAATGTTTATATCTGAGTTGTTTTTAATTTTTTTGAAAAGTTTATTTTCTTTCTTATACTGCCATCTATTGCTTAAAACGGTCAGTTTCAGTCGAATAAACCAAAGATTAAATAAAAAATCTACCTACCGATAGATGGCGCAACTTGATTATTTTTTATTTAAAACGTAAAACCACAATTATAAATTAATATTAAAATAAGTAATTAATGAGTAATAAATACTAACTTAATTCAATGTGAAAAATAATATTTTGATTACATTTGTAATAATTGCAATTAATATGGTTGACCTTCACGATGTGTGTGAAGAATATACGTACAGAATTAACATGTCAAATGTTAGCTACCGTATGCGTGCGAACAGATTGTTTTGGCAATGAGCAACTGTTAAACTGTGAAATCTGCGGCATGAACTTGGGCCGGATTACGAAGTAATGTAATCGACCGTAACTGATTGGATAATTTATTGTTAGCAGGTTTGCAGGTTAACATAAGATCAGGAAATACCCTTTTTTGATTCTATATCCTGCTCTTTTTTTGGTCTTCATCTTTTCGATTGTTCTTTGGCAATCACTGACTTTGACCATGCGCTATGTGATCTAGTTTATATTTCTGTTGGTAGATGTCTCTATAATCAATTTATCCGTTTCGTGCCTAATTAGCAATTATAAAATTAAGCCATTTTCTAAGAAATAACGGTTTCCTGACTTTAAGTTATGATTATATCTTGTTTTTATGTCGGATTTAGTTTATCATTTATATACTGTTAGGTAGAAAATCCAACTGGCGCAACACTAGCTTTACTAAAATGTCGACGTTTATGTCCTCTCACTAATCATCCTGTCACTTGACTTGGTAACAAAAGCGCGCTATTCGCGACAAATGATTCTAACTAATAATGTATAAAAACATCTACCTAGTTTCCTTAGAATTTCGGTTGTTATTATGTTATTATAGTAATTTATCTAGAAACATAACAATTATAATTTTCAAGTAAATTTATATTGATTTGCAACGATTTTCCTCATTAATAAACAATGTAGTTTAATACTGTAAAATAACTGTGAAGTTTTGTTAGTAAAGTAAAGGAAGTTCGTTGTTTGCAGTTATTGATCCGAGACTGAATTCTTTTTATTTTGAAGCAAAATATTAGGCTTGTGGTTCTCTTATAATTTTATAGAAGAAAAAAAATTAAAATTTCAAAGGTTTTAATTTATCAAACAGAATTGTTAATTTAATGAAAGTCAGGGATAAGAGGTAATAAAATGTTGGCAAAATAATTAAATTCAAGGGAATATTTTGTGTAAAATCCTTAGAAATTTTCAATTGACACCTTTTGACAATAGATGGCGCATGATATAATGTAGAGATCCTTTTTCTCTCTCAACAATCCAAATCACGTCCGCATAATATCAGAAGGCCTAGCGGATGAAAAACATTAAAAAAATAATCATCTACGACCTACTATTTCATACTGGACACGTAACGCCAACTATAAATACTTTTGTAGCAAATTATTTCTGCAAACATAAAATTGCGACGTAGAAAACGTGCCGCGGTTTTTTAAAAAAAAATTATAAATTTATAACAATAATTGAGTAAAAGTTCGTAAATAAAAACGTGGAATGATAAAAATATTTTAATTTAATTGTGGAACTGTGCTGTGAAAAAAGTAAGTGATTTCAAAACATGGAATGGGATTTCTAGAAGTATTCTAAACTCTATTCTTCTATATCTATATTAAAAAGTTTTTATTGTAATAAACTCAAAAACTACTGAACTAAATTGAAAAATTCTTTCTCCGTTAGAAAACTATGAGTTAGGCTAGGAATAATGCTATTATTACCTATTTTTTTATTATTTCAGCATAAGCTAGTGAATCAAAAGTTACTAGTCAGGCAAGGCGTACAAAATTCATTTATTTCTTGTAGTATTTGAGTCTTGAATTGCTAGCGATAAGTTACTCAAATTTTAATCGCCTTATAGACTTCTTACGTTAAATATACTCCAAGAGTGCTACTTTAGTGGTCACTTAATCTCTTTGAGTGTCGTTCTAAATAATTATTTGTTGCTTAAAATTATAATTGTT